TCGATTTATGGGCTGGTGCAAGCATCTCGGAGTTGGAACATTCGTTTTGATGAGATGATCAAAGCGTTTGGGTTTACACAGACTTATGGAGAAGCCTGTGTTTACAAGAAAGTGAGTGGGAGCTCTATAGCATTTCTCATACTATATGTAGATGACATACTTTTGATGGGAAATGATATAGAACTTTTGGACAGCATTAAGGCCTACTTGAATAAGAGTTTTTCAATGAAGGACCTTGGAGAAGCTGCTTATATATTAGGCATCAAGATCTATAGGGATAGATCAAGACGCCTCATAGGTCTTTCACAAAGCACATATCTTGATAAGATTTTGAAGAAGTTCAAAATGGATCAGTCCAAGAAAGGGTTCTTGCCTGTTTTGCAAGGTGTGAAATTGAGCTCAGCTCAATGTCCGACCACGGCAGCAGAGATAGAAGAGATGAGGGTCATCCCCTATGCCTCAGCCATAGGTTCTATTATGTATGTCATGCTGTGTACCAGACCTAATGTAAACCTTGCCGTAAGTTTGGTAGGAAGGTACCAAAGTAATCCCGGCAAGGAACACTGGACAGCGGTCAAGAATATCCTGAAGTACCTGAAAAGGACTAAGGAAATGTTTCTCGAGGTGACGAAGAGCTCGTCGTAAAAGGTTACGTCGACGCTAGCTTCGACACAGATCTGGATGACTCTAAGTCACAAACCGGATACGTGTATATTTTGAATGGTGGGGCAGTAAGCTGGTGCAGTTGCAAGCAGAGCGTCGTGGCGGGATCTACATGTGAAGCGGAGTACATGGCAGCCTCGGAGGCAGCACATGAAGCAATATGGGTGAAGGAGTTCATCACCGACCTAGGAGTCATACCCAATGCGTCGGGGCCGATCAAGCTCTTCTGTGACAACACTGGAGCTATTGCACTTGCCAAGGAGCCCAGGTTTCACAAGAAGACAAGGCACATCAAGCGTCGCTTCAACTCCATCCATGAAAATGTTCAAGATGGAGACATAGAGATTTGTAAAGTACATACGGACCTGAATGTAGCAGATCCGTTGACTAAACCTCTCCCAAGAGCAAAACATGATCAACACCAGAATTCCATGGGTGTTCGAGTCATCACAATGTAACTAGATTATTGACTCTAGTGCAAGTGGGAGACTGTTGGAAATATGCCCTAGAGGCAATAATAAAAGCATTATTATTATATTTCTTTGTTCATGATAATTGTCTTTATTCATGCTATAATTGTGTTATCCGGAAATCGTAATACATGTGTGAATAACAGACACCAACATGTCCCTAGTAAGCCTCTAGTTGACTAGCTCGTTGATCAATAGATAGTCATGGTTTCCTGGCTATGGACATTGGATGTCATTGATAACGGGATCACATCATTAGGATAATGATGTGATGGACAAGACCCAATCCTAAACATAGCACAAGATCGTATAGTTCGTTTGCTAGAGTTTTTGCAATGTCAAAGTATCTCTTCCTTCGACCATGAGATCGTATAACTCCTGGATGCCGTAGGAGTGCTTTGGGTGTATCAAACGTCACAACGTAACTGGGTGACTATAAAGGTGCACTACAGGTATATCCGAAAGTATCTATTGTTTTATATGGATCGAGACTGGGATTTGTCACTCCGTATGACGGAGAGATATCACTGGGCCCACTCAGTAATGCATCATCATAATGAGCTCAAAGTGACGAAGTGTTTGGTCACGGGATCATGCATTACGGTACGAGTAAAGTGACTTGCCGGTAACAAGATTGAACGAGGTATTGGGATACCGACGATCGAATCTCGGGCAAGTAACATATCGATTGACAAAGGGAATTGCATACGGGGTTGATTAAATCCTCGACATCGTGGTTCATCCGATGAGATCATCGTGGAGCGTGTGGGAGCCAACATGGGTATCCAGATCCCGCTGTTGGTTATTGACCGGAGAGCGATCTCGGTCATGTCTACATGTCTCCCGAACCCGTAGGGTCTACACACTTAAGGTTCAGTTACGCTAGGGTTGTAGGGATATGTATATGCAGTAACCCGAATGTTGTTCGGAGTCCCGGATGAGATCCCGGACGTCACGAGGAGTTCCGGAATGGTCCGGAGGTAAAGATTTATATATGGGAAGTCCTGTTTCGGGTATCGGGACAAGTTTCGGGGTTATCGGTATTGTACCGGGACCACCGGAGGGGTCCCGGGGGCCCACCGGGTGGGGCCACCCATCCCCGGGGGCCACATGGGCTGTAGGGGGTGCGCCTTGGCCTGCTTGGGCCAAGGGCACCAGCCCCACATAGGCCCATGCGCCTAGGGTTCAAGGGGGCAAGAGTCCTAGGAGGGTAAGGCACCTCCTAGGTGCCTTGGGGGGGAGGGAAACCCCCCTTGGCCGCCGCACCCCCTAGGAGATTGGATCTCCTAGGGCCGGCCACCCCCCCTTGGCACCCCTATATATAGTGGGGGAGAGGAGGGACTTCATACCTTGAGTCCTTGGCCTTTGGTTGCCTCCTTCTCCCTCCCCAACACCTCCTCCACCTCCTTATTGCTTAGCGAAGCTCTGCCGGAGTACTGCAGCTCCATCAATACCACGCCGTCGTGCTGCTGCTGGTGCCATCTCCCTCAACCTCTCCTCCCTCCCTTGCTGGATCAAGAAGGAGGAGACGTGGCTGTTCCGTACGTGTGTTGAACGCGGAGATGCCGTCCGTTCGGTGCTAGGATCTCCGGTGATTCGAATCACGTCGTGTTCGACTACATCATCTCCGTTCTTTGAACGCTTCCGCTCGCGATCTACAAGGTATGTAGATGCATCTATTCACTCGTTGCTAGATGAACTCCTAGATGATCTTGGTGAAACGAGTAGGAAAATTTTTATTTTCTGCAACGTTACCCAACATTTTGATGGTCTTGACAAATGTCGACCATCTCGGATAGATGCCATCAGCTAGATAGTACCCCTTGTTGTACTGCCGCCCATTGATCTCGAAGTTCACCGGAAGAGAATGACCTTCAACAAGCTTGGCAAAGACAGGAGAGCACTGCAGCACGTTGATGCCATTGTGAGTTCCTGGCATACCAAAGAAGGAGTGTCAAATCCAGAGGTCTTGTGTGGCCACCGCCTCAAGTACCACACTGCAACCGCCTTTGGCGCCTTTGTACATCCCCTGCCAAGCAAATAGGCAATTCTTCCATTTCCAATGCATGCAGTCGATGCTTCCAAGCATCCCAGAAAATCCTCTTGCTGCATTCTGTGCTAGGATCCGAGCAGTGTCTTCCGCATTGGGTGTTCTCAAGTATTGCGGTCCAAACACTGCCATCACTGCCCGACAGAACTTGTAGAAACACTCTAGGCTGGTCGACTCGGCCATGCGCCCATAGTCGTCGAGTGAGTCACCGGGAGCTCCATATGCAAGCATCCTCATTGCTGTCGTGCATTTCTAGATGGAGGTGAATCCAAGTGAACCGGTGCAATCCATCTTGCACTTGAAGTAGCTGTCGAACTCCCGGATGGAATTCACAATCCGGAGGAAAAGCTTTCGGCTCATCCGATAACGGCGCCGAAATGTTCTGTCGCCGTGAAGTGGAGCATCGGCGAAGTAGTCGGAGTAGAGCATGCAGTAGCCTTCGAGACGATGCCGGTTCTTTGCTTTCACCCGCCCCGGCGCCGAGCCACCTCGCCGCGGCTTTTCATTGTTCGCCAGCAGCTAGGCGAGGGCGCCGAGCACCATGAGATGCTCTTCTTCCTGGACGTTGGCCTCAGCTTCCTCCTCCAGCAGCGCGGCGAGCACTTCCTCGTCATCCGAGTCCATCGCCGAGGTAGGCAAATCGCCGAACACCTTGCGCGTGGTGGGCGTGCACCCGCCGCTAAACTGCCCCTCCGCGGCCGGAAACGGTGGCCGGAAACGCCCAACTGGTGTCGGAGGGGCTGCCGCGGCGAACCTATGCTATTTTTCCGGCGGGGGAATGGCTATATACCGATGAAGGGCGGCGGGGCGGCGCCGGGATATACCTAGTTGCGACCGAGAGTGCGGGGGGTGGGAGGCGGTCGGGAAAGAAAATCTTGACTTTTCACCTGACAGCGTGGGCCAGCCGCGCTTTTCCCTTGCGTCGGAGCCCCCAAGCGCCCCCCAGCGTGCCGGGTTCGGCCTGCGGCCGCCGGGCGGAAAAAAGGACCGAACCGGCGCTTTTCGTCGTCCTAGGGGAGCGACTGGGCCGTTTTTTTTGGCACCGGCGCCAAAAAAGTCGCCGGGGGGGCTTGTTGGGGACGCGGCTGGAGATGCTCTGATTCGTCGATCCAAAACTCTCTCGCTAGAGCATCTTCCAGACTGGTGTTTGTATAACGGGAGTATCGATTCAACATACAAGACTGGGTTTTTTTTTCCTTTTCCAAAGATAATTGGATGCAGATCGTGCGCTTGGGTATGCTTCAAACTTTTGGAAACTTCCCAAACAACCTATCTCTGGCCATGCCGGCACTCAGCACTGCAATTCGCCAATCCAGAAGGAAAAGACTGCATAAGAAAACCCTTCAATGAAAACTTAAAACAAACAGAGTTGCATATGTTACAGATTCATGCAGCAGAGTCAAACATCCACTGTTCAAAATCAGCTACAACCATAACAAGGTGAACACAAATCATCTCACGTTGCAACAAACCACTCAATAGGAGCCAGCGACAGGTACATAGTACTGCAATAGCAACAGGTAAACCTTCAATGACAGGAATCTAAAACAAGGTGGCACGAGTCTGACGATCAAGAAACTAGGAAAATCGAGAGGACCCATACAAGGATCACAACTACCATAAATACATTCATACTTCTCTAGAACATATTACAGATCAGCCATGGCAATCTCAATTCTCAGGCGAGGGTTAGTACAGGGGAGGGTGAACCGGTTACATTGTCAAGCTTGCATCGCAGCATACTACTACTCAGCTACACAGGTCAACAGGGTGGACTGGTCATACATCACGTCTTCCAACAACCATAATATAGTTCATCACGCTCGCATGCCTGCCCAACCAACATCCCCAGGAGAAATGCGCACTTGTCGATGCAATTCCAACGACTCGTGAGACAAACATCTCATAGTCATGCATGGGGGCTCTGCTTTCTCGCGTGTTCTGGGATCAATTTTGCCGCAACATCCGCTGGGATTCCTTTCAGTTCTGAGGACAAACCAAAAGCAAAAATAAGATTAGGTGCTGAAAACAAGACTAGGTGACAAATTAGATATTCAAGTCTAACACAAGTAATCACTGATGATCCCAGCCACCACAAATAATCAAGGTTGCATGGCTTACCGTTAGGCTTGAAGTTAAAAAGAGGAGGCAGAAAGCGGCCATTCGGAAGGCGGGTACCCGGGTCCCGAAGCTCATCAAAGAAGGGGTGAACAAGTGCCTCCACCTGGACAGCAAGTTAATAGAGATCTTAGTAAAATACCACAGTACACAAGATCATTGCAAAAGTATTGTATGAGTGCAGTATTCTCTGTGTTTCAATCACATGATGTGCATTCTGATATACTTACAGCAGTGCATCTTAGGTTGGGCGAGTACTGGAGGAGCCGAGAGACTAGATCAACAGCTTCAGGTGGCATCCTTTTATGGAATACCTACAGATTGCATGTGTTAGTAGGCTGATATGCACCAATACCTAACAGTACATAAACAGCACTACATAGATTTGTACCTTGTGCCATGGGTGTGCTTTAATCTGTGGGAATTTGAACTCCGTATAATTGGGGTTCATGCATTTAATTTCTTCCCTTGTAGGAGTACCAAGGACCTGCAGCAAATGATCAAATTCTATGTGATAAGAACTTTTGCCTGGGAAATAAAAAAGATAGCCGATTGCTAAGTACTAGAACTGTTAACTACCTTGATGATTTCAACAAGCTGGTCCACACCACTTTCACCAGGAAACAGAGGCTGTCAAACAAAATGACCTTGTAAGCCAATATGAACTAACAGTGTAGTGCTGATTTGTTAAGGGCTACATTCAAGATGCACTAAGAAAAGCAAGCTGCTTACCTGCCCTAGCATAAGCTCAGCAAGAACACATCCAGCAGACCAAATGTCAATGGCTGTAGTGTACTCGGTAGCACCAAATATGAGCTCTGGAGCCCTATAGTATCGGGAACAAATGTACGATATGTTCGGTTCTCCCTTAACAAGAACTTTTGCACTCCCAAAGTCACACAGTTTCAGCTGGTGAGTGTGTGGGTTTACCTACAGTTATAGTTAAGAAAAGTTAATCCACAGATAAAAACATGTGACTGATTTTGAGACCAACAGAAGATGAGTAAGTTTTCAGCATACCAGAAGATTTTGCGGCTTGATATCCCTGTGGCAAACTCCAATGCTGCCATGAATGTAAGCCAGAGCCCTACATATCTGTCCAAAAATGATAAATACGGGATTAGCAGGCGCCTAAGTATAATGCAGTACCAAAAAAATCAAAGAACATACAGAAATATTACCTGGTACGTATACAGCTTAACATAGATTAGTGGCATGCGCTGGTTCATCTTGTTGTAATGCTTGACAACACGATGGACAGTCTCAGGCACATACTCAAGAACCAAGTTTAGATACAGTTCATCCTTCTCAGTTGTAGAAAAGAAACAATGCTTCAGAGCTACAACATTTGGGTGGTCAAGCAGGCGCATGGTCTGTAGCTCACGGTTCTTGTAGCGCTTATCCTGAAGGACCTTCTTAATGGCAACAGTTTCCCCTGTCTCCAAACATTTAGCCTGCAAAGCGGACAGATTAAGGTTATATGAGACACAAGCTCCATGTACACCCAACATTAGTACATAGCAATCACAAGAAAATCTATTATGGTTATATAGAATATCCTAGATGTATAGACAGTTAGCTCAAGACAGTAATACAAAAGAAACGCCTTTAGAGTAGATTCATGCGAGGCAATAAGAGAGCTGGCTGCCAATAAATAATAGACCAGCCTGAAGCTGTTGCAACTAACCTGGAATACAATACCAAATGAACCTTGACCAACAATCCGCTCAGCCATGTAGCTCACGGTCTGCAGGTGCAACCAAGAACAAGATTATTAACACGAAATAAGCCACATAAACTATTCAGCTCAACAAACTAATTCTAAGAAAGATAGCATTAGCAGAGATTGAAGGCATTTAGGACATTTAGCACGTCATAATTATGTTGTTGGCCTAATCATCGAATCATGCATGCAGGCAAACAGATGAGAACAAAAGGCTGCTAATCCTAATCAAATGTGACATCATAGGAACAGACAGTCACCTGTTTCGGCTGACCATTTTTGCCACCAGTAGTTGTGACAATTATGTGTCCAGTCTCTGTTCCCTTGCCATTAATAATAGTAGCTTCCACTTCCTGCATATGTCATTCAAGCCAATCGTTAGGATCAAGTCATATTTTTTGGAAATAAAATAGATCGCAGAAGACCCATCCAGATGACGGTTATCTGACCTTATCATCTCTTATCTTCAAATCGTTCATCTGATCTGGTAGCTTCTCAGCACCCATGCTGGTGCCGCTGCTGTTCTTGTGCCCAGAGGGAGCAACGCCTACTGAAGCCATCTGCTACGGAAGCCAAGAGACGCCGATTCAGCAGCGCATGAAATCAGAGAAGCAGTAGGTGTTTTGGTGTATCTGCAAATCCAATGACCAACATCAATCACATGAAGTAGCAACAAAATTTAGGATGAACAAGCCAGATGTAATTCACGACGGTTAAACACGAAATGTGCCTAACTAGCATAGCCAATTTGAGCGACGAAACGTTTATTTGGCCTAACTATTAGGTCCTGCGCTCAGCGACCTGTTCTCGGGAAAGCAGCTTTCCCCACGAGAAAGTGGACCTAAAATAACGCAGCGAATGGGCTCGCACAAACGTAACAAGCCTTAGCCTAGTCGGGGCATCTCATCTCTTCTGCATCTGTTTGGAGGGCATCAATAGCTGCAAGGTACTAGTACCAGCCTCTCAAACAATCAATACTACAATACTGGGTACGATTTGACGGCATAAATGATCTAGCTAGCAGTAAATAGCAGAAATATTTTAGCGTTCGTACGAGTGCTCCGTGCTGACTAAACACCGACACAAATCCAGAACACACGCCGCCGCACCACATCCCTCCTAAGAACCAACGCCTCGGAGAAAATCGGCTAATCTGCGAGGAATCCTCGCGCAAATCCGGCAGAGATCGCAAAATGGCCATGGCTTCCGTCAGGAAAAGGCGCAGATCCTGGCAGAGTCATAGCCAGATCATGGTCGCCGGAACGAACGAAGAATCGGCCCGAGAAGGAGGAAGACGCCACACGCTGCTTGCTGCGCGGACTCGACAGCCACGGATGGATGGAGCAGAGAACGCGTCTTCAGGGAGGACGCAAAACCCAGCAGCAGGAAGAACCAAATCGGCGAAGAAGGACAAGGGACGCGCCGCGATTCATACCTCCTCCTCCTCTTCCTTGGCAGAGAGATCCCTCGATTCTCCGCTCGCTCCGCCCTGTGTTGCAGCTGGGTTGGCTTGCCCTTTCCTCTCTCCCCCTCTCTCCTCTCCTTTCTGGTTGTCGGGACGCAACGAGATAGCAGTAGTAGTCGTACTAGTCCAGCAGCACCGGTGCCAGTGCCAAGGCCAAGGCGGAGGGACGACGCAGCGGCCGAAATGATTTGTGCCTGCCCCCCGCCTGCTGCCGAGGGCAGTCAAAGCAACCCACCACCACGGGAACGCGCGCCGCCCGGGCACGGCCCCGCTCGCCTCTACGCTCGCCGACAGGTGGGCCGTTTCCTTCTAAGGCCCCATGTGTCGGGGTCGTAGTGCGGGTACGCGTCTCGTGGGGGCGCATGGGGGCTCGGGATCGATGGATCCATTGGGGTCTGGTTGGCCACGCCTTTTGACCGGTCAAATCTGCGGGGCCCGCAGCCTGGACTGGACTGCCTCGGTGGGTCGCCCTTGCCACTGCTCACCTGCTTTATCGGTCCTCTCGCCGACGCGCGGGCCCGGCGTCACATGGCCCGCGGGACAGCGAGGGGACGTGAGAGGGACGGGTGACGGGTGCCGTGTGCTGCCAAGGTACTACTCGCCCTATTTCCCTTTCTTTTCACCGCGTCAGAGGACCGAAAGATTCGAGTAGGTTATGGGCGAAATGACGGGGCTGCCCCCGCCCTTTCCCGCTGGGTCTGGTCTGGGTTGGGTAGATCTGGCTGGGGTTTTTGGTTTGGTTTAAACTCGACGCGGGCTGGTGAACGGTAATGGGTGGCAGTGAGTGGAGAGAGGACCAGCGTCCAGCATGTGGCTGCAGCGAGACGTGGGCAGGGGCGAAGTTTTTTCAGGACCGCGGGCGCGGGGGGCAGCAGGTGCTACGTGTAACTCTGAGGCCAAACTGTGTGGTAAAGTACCACGCTGGGTGCCAAAATTTCAAATTCACCGGCGAATCTCGCCTCGACAGCGGACCTGGGATGAGATCATGGAAATCGTCGGTCTCCGCTCCGCTCTTGAATTGAGACCCCAGCAGCCCCGAGTTATGGGGTGGGGGCTCGAGTGACGCTGACAGATGCTCCGTCTTGAGTAGGAGTACCCATTTTGATTGACAAGGGGTTTCGGTTTCAACTCAACTGAACTGAGCGGTAAAGTAAAATACCAGCGATTTTTGTGCGCGCCTAGACCCTGGACTTCCAGCATCTTTCACGATGTACTACTTCCTCCGTTTTCAAATGTACTAGCTTATATTTTGTTCTCTAAAAGTTAAACATGTCTATGTTTCACAAAATTAAGGAAAAGGTATCGACGTTTACAATACAAAATGAGAACCATTAGATTCACCATGAAGTGTAATTTTATACCCTCTCCGTTTCTAAATATTTGTCTTTTTTGAGATTTCAAACGGACTACCACATACGGATGTATATAGACATATTTTAAAGTGCAGATTCACTCATTTTGCTCTATATGTAATCTCTAAAACGACAAATATTTAGAAACAGATGGAGTATTTCACAAGTAATTGTGTATGTGCAATGCACGCTGATATCAAGCAATATATTAACTGCATTGTACATTAATATTAGATAAAATATATATTATATGTTAATATTAGGTAGGATATAATTATTTCGTTAATGCCAACATTGATATTAGGCATGTGCTAAATGTGTTTACTGTCAAACATGTTTAATGCTAAACATCGGAGCGAAGTAAACTGTTGGATAGATGCGTTCGAACGGGTGAGATATGTTGGATCTCCACAACTCACTATTTTTGTATTGGTATCTCTATCTTCTCTATATTTATTTAGTAAATAGAACGTAAGGTTCTCGTTTCACCCTCTTCTTCGTCCAACCTCTCTATATATGATCGCCCTCTAATTTTTCTCTCAAATAATAATATTCTTTGGAAAGTAAATAAATTCTTACTAAATAAGTGCTTAACAAAAAGGTGATATTTTTTTCTTCCATCCCTGCTCTGATCTTTCTCCTAAATAATATTTTCTTTGGTAAGTCAATAAACTCTTACCAAATAAGTGCTTATCAATAAGATGACAGGTAAATCATGACAATTGCATACAAAAACTTGCTAAGATTTTAGCGCACCAATCTAATAATAGACGTTCAATCACGGGCTAATATATTAGAATGTTTATACTCATGTTGCAATTGCACGGGTAATTATCTAGTAGATATAGATTTAGATATTGATTTATCTAATATTTTAGGTGTTATTAATAGTTTATTCTTGAAACTTAAAAAATTGACTTTTGAAAAACCTAATATGCACTACCTTATAAAACAAAGGAAGTACCACGAGACACAAATTGCCAATGCATGCTTATAAGATAAAATCAATGGTAAATATAGTCATAGAAATGGAACTAAACACATCATGCTAGCAACAATGAGACACCTAAGGTAAGGCACGAAGAACTTAGGGTGTGTTTGGTTCGGGAACGAAGTAGAATGTAATGTCATGGTTCCATTCCACCGAAACGGGTTGGTTTCGTTCCGGTGTTTGATGAAGGGAATTAGGAGGAACGGAATGGTTCCATCTCAGCGTTTGGTTGGGATAGCACGAAATGAGTTTTTCCACATAATGCATTTGGTTTATCTCAAATCTTTGCATAGAAATGGTGGGAGTTTCACATACGTATATACATGGTCACAATTATATCTCTTTACATTTTATCAATTTCTGTCAAGTACATGTAAAAAATTGGTCAAAAGACAAAATTGACTCAATCAAGGAGGAAAAGCATTGACAAACATGCACACATTTTTAGCATCAAATTATTCAAATTTTCAGCGGCCATTTCATTTGTATTTGCACTTTTGCAGCACCATCAATTGATATAATCTCAAAAGGATCTACGGTTCATACAGGAAAAAAAATTCTCACTGTTTTCTATTCACATGAAGAGTTTGCCATCTTGAGTTTAGCATGAACGCATCCGGCAAAAATCTACAGGCATGAACAAAAAAAAATCTCACTGCAAGCATCAGGAACATGTTGAGTTTGGCATGAACGCATCTTAGTTAATTTTGCGTTCAGTTCAAGCAAAGATACTGAACGCATCCATCAATACTGAACGCCATCTGCTCCTTTCCTCTCTGGCCGCTGCCGCTGCCCAGGCAAGCTGATGCTGCCGCCGCTCAGGTGTGGCTGCCGTTGGCTGGCTTCCAATCCTCGCGCCGAAGTAGCGCTGGCTCGCCGCCCAGCTTCAAGACCGTCGCCTCGCAGCCGCTCGTCCGCCGCCCCGCAGCTGATTGAGGAGAAGACGAGGAAGAGGGTGGGGTGGGGGAAGACACTCACCGGTGCAGATGGGGGAGAGGAACTGCCGGTGGCGCGAATCGAGGGAGGAGAGGGACGAGGGGAGGCGGCGCACCAGAGAGGAGAGGGCGAGAGGGGATGGGGTTGCGAGAGAGAGACGAGGGGGAGACGGTTCCGCGTCGTCCGCTGGAATTCGAGGTCTCACCTCGTTCCGGATCTGGGCCGAATATTCGGTCCAGGGAAACGAGCGGATCACGTCCCATGCGCATACCAAACACGAGAATCAGGTCCAGGAACAGGTCCGACCCGTGACATTCCAATCCATGACAGAAACCAAACACACCCTTAGGTGCAACTACTCAGATTGCTCAAAAAAAAAAAGGTGCAACTACTCATTTGATCCTATAAAGTAACCGGAGAGGACAGATCCAAACCATCTAATCCCACAATCGAATGATCCAAAACCTCCCAATCTTGAGCGCACTAACAGTCAATAATTTCACCCATCATGCTGTAAATCTAACACCCCTTTGTGAAAGTGCATGTGGCACTTAATTATATTTTGGTGTGATGACAATATGGTTAGTAGAACTAATA